TCTCTCTCTCTCTCTCTCTCTCTCTCTCTCCACTACCCTCCTCGGTGCTGGACTCCTCCAGCGCTGTGCCTCATTGCCGATGAGCAGCGTAGCTGCAGTCTCGAAATAGCGCAGCAGGGAGTCTCCAGAATAGCGCAGCAGCGAAGTTCCTGAACCAGCATAACGCTGGATTTCTCCTGGTACCTTCTGTCCACGAACTGGGCAACGGCCCAGCTTAAGTAGCGCTGGGCCAAGACTGAAAACCCACGACCTGCGTTCTGGACCGTGCAGATCGAAACTCCGATCCACGGTCCAGATCGCAGGCTTTGACCTGGTTTCTACCTCGAATTTATCCTGGGCCTATATCTACATGGTTTCTAGAGGTAGATAATACTAAAACAAAGCAAGATCTTGTCCCAGATGCAAATTATGACCCTTGGCTTTTCACTTGCACTTCCTCATACATCCAGCCCTTCCTAGGGCTAAATTGATTCAAACTTAAGCTTTTGCTTTAGTTTTTCTTTACTTTTTGGGAGTCGGCTGACCTTCCCCTCATTCCAGATTTGTCTGTTGTGAGGGAAGAGGACAAAATCACACTTCTTTTTGTGCCACAGATCTTGATCAAGATCTAGGGCCAAAAGAAAATCCGACCACCAAAGATCTTTCTTTTGTCACTTTTCTTCAAATTTCATTTAGTTTCGGTGTCTCTAGACTGTTTCCAGCCTAGATATGGTATCCAGGAGGGCCAAACTCTATCCTTTTGGCCTTTCCTAGGTACCCGGACCCATTCAAAGGTTGTATCTGACTGTTGATGAGATAAGCCCTTTATCGGCTTTTTAGGGTCTTATCTTTCACTCGGGATTGTCCTCCCATAATCCGGGGCAGGGATTGCGCCTGGCAGTTGGTCAAGACCTTGGCAACCATAGAAAAGGGTTGACTTCGATAGGTTGGGACTTGCCAGTCTCAATTTTGGCAGTCCCAATTTAACGGCCAACTCATATCCCACTTCTTTTGGGCCGTAGCCTCTTATTTTTCTCCCTTTTTCTCCCGTTTCTCCTTCTCTCTTGAGCCACTTGGAATATTTCTGGCCCTAGATTCCCTTATTTAGATCTGCTTTGAGTAATGCACGATACATCCCATGTCTAGGCCCCCCTCACACTTTTTGTCCCCAGGATGAGAATGAATATATATTTTTTTAATAATACAATTCTTATTTATCTAATTATTTATTTATCTAATTATTTATTTATCTAATTATCAGATTTACAATAGAAATAAATTCCATAATATTACAATATATGCACTATAAAATAATAATTAGNTTATTTATCTAATTATTTATTTATCTAATTATCAGATTTACAATAGAAATAAATTCCATAATATTACAATATATGCACTATAAAATAATAATTAGATATTCATTACTACGGTCCACTTTATTTTGGATCAACCGAACTCCTAGATCTACCTGTAGATCTAGCATCTAGATTCAATCTAGCCTCTAGACTTTTAATCCTAGAAAGTCTGAGATATTTTGGACTGCCATCATCACTCACTTATTATCCCTTACTCCTAACTCAAACTTTGAATTCTACCCCCTCATGTTGTCCTTTTTGTCACGTACACCCTTAGCCATTGCATCTAGTCCCTATGGCCTTTCTATATATCTTTAATCACAGCCCTAGGATAATCGAAGATGCTTTGGACCATCCTTGCGGTCTCCCCACCTCTTTCCCACTCCCAATTTCATTCAATACTCCTTTTTGTCTCCCACTATGGCCATTTGTACCTCGGATGCACCAAGTCAATGTTTTGGCCTCTAATATATCTAAAAACACATGTTTACTCCTTTCCTTTGTAGCCGTTATACCTCGGACTACACTAAGGTTCATTTTCCCAAGGACATTGTACATGGACTACCTTCTTTTTCCTTTGTAGCTGCTACATTCCAAATGCATCTTGCCACTATTCAGGGTCGATGTATCCAGAACATGTGTTTTCCTCTTCCCTACTATCCATTTTACCTCGAAGTACTCCATAACCTACTTTTCTATGTACGTTGTACCAAGATACTCCCTTTCGTCTTTCTTTTGTGCTCATTTCATCTTAGGATACATCTGCTCACCGTTCCGACCGTAGATGTTGATGAAACATATGTTTCTTCCTCCTCTACCTAGCCATTTTACTTCAGGCTACTCTAAACTCATTTTTCTAGGTATATTGCTTTTGGACACTGCCTTTTCCCTTCTATTTGTACCCGATACATCCTAGAATACATATGACCACCATTCTGACTGTAGATGTACATGAAACATATGTTCCTGCCTACTGTACGTAGCCATCTTACTTCAGGCTACTCTAAGCTAATTTTTCTATACATATTGCTCTTTTGAAACATATGTTTTTTCCTCCTCTACCCAACCATTTTACTTCAGGCTACTCTAAACTCATTTTTCTAAGTATATTGCTCTTGGACATTGCCTTTTCCCTTCTTTTTGTACCCGATACATCCTATAACACATATGGTCATTGTTTCGACCGTAGATGTACACGAAACATATGTTTCTACCTCCTATACTTAGTCGTTTTACTTCAGGCTACTCTAAACTCATTTTTCTAGATATATTTCTCTTAGACACTGCCTTATCCCTTCTTTTTGTACCGGTTACATCCTAAAATACATCTGGTCTGCATTTCGCTCCAAATGTACCTATTTTTATTTTTATTTTTATTTTTTAATCTCCGGATTTGTTAGGAGTTACAAAATGGCCTCTAGCCAAAAGTTGTTTGCATTGTCACAATCTACCCTCGGATAATCGGGCCAGATGATCTGAACTTGTCGTCCGACTGGAAATGCCATGTTACCTAGCCTAGTGTAACTTAGAATGGAGATCTTATTGTTAATGTTTTTCGTTACTTTTTAACTAGTGTTTTCTATGTTGATTTTTGTTTCAGATACTTACAGCATACAACTTTTGCCTCGTAGCAAAAGAAAACACCATAGTGTCTAACTAACACTTGAATGATAGATACCTAAAGTTAGTAATGAGATTGTGAGATCATGATTTCATATCGTATCGGGCATACAAATATCAAGAAGTATTTTTATTTTCTAATTGAAAATACCTTTAAATTTTAAAAAAGAATTATTTTTCAATAGTTCAGATTTGATCATTTGAATTTAGATCGATTAAAAAAAAATCTATGGATTTCTGATTAGAAAAAAAAAAGATAAATAATTATATTTTTCAAGTTTTATATGGAAGGTATGATAAGCCTTTAATTAAACGTGTCTAGGAAAACTTCAATTCAAAGTTGACCCATTTCAAAAATTTAGGAGGCATGAGGGTATCGCGCCGATATGGTTCTTGCCAATAAGAGGCTTGGATGTATTGGTGGTTCAAAATTTAGGACAAGGTTTTTAACTTATCATCATTGACACTCAATAAAAGACAAACCGCAACCAATACCTGTGTAAGTTGAGTCCGTAAACAATATTTTTTTATGTTGTATTACGAAAAAATTGAGCAATTTTCTCACATGCTCTTATACCTCTTACTTTTTGTTTATTTTAGCGTCCATAGTCAATTTTTTGAAACCAATACAAAGAGTTTATTTAATTACCAATACATTCATATTTACTTTGACAAAGAAGGTCTTTTGGGATTCCTTTACCAAATCATTTTTTTTAGACCATGGGCCTGTTTTTGAACCAAAATTATATTAGTTTCTGAAAGTTACAGCAATTTGTGTATAGTGTTATATCCTGAAGGACCAAATGATGTGCTATGATTCAATAACTCAGAAAATGAAGGAGAATAGAGAGGGTGGAAGATTAATGAATTTGTAAAGTTGTAAACATTTAGGGGAAAAAAGCTAGGTTGTTGGATCGGACGTCCGGGCCCCCCCTGACCGTCCGGGATGTCCGACCGGACAGGGTAAGTCCGACCTAGCGCAAAAAAAAAAAACAAAAAAAAAAAACAAGTTCTCAGAAAAATCTGAAAAATATATATGTTAT